AAAACAGAAGTGGAGAGCAACGTGGATTTAGTGGCTTAGTGCTGCTGGAACCCAATATTTAACAGCAAAAATAAGACCTGACAGTCTCTGAACTGTTACCAGATTCCATGGCTATCTGACCAGTACATTTAAAGATGTGCCCAAAGTGTTGATTGGACTGACAAACCAACTATCAGCAGACGTCGTTAGCACAGTACTCCGTGTGGTCAAATCAATGCTAAAAGCCAGAAAAAAGAAGCAGAACTGTCTCATTGCTCAATAATTATTTACATTACAGAAATTACTGTACAGCTCACGATGGTGGTGAAATTACGTAAATGTTTAGGGCTTAACAAAATCCACAGGAATCACCAAATTTCATAGCAGTGAACTTAGTTGTAAAAAGAACTTGCTCTTGGTGGAAAGGCGGACACTGGTGTCATAGGGCCACAGAAAAACGTGTTCTTGACTGTTTGGTTCTCTTTATAAACTTATTATTTTGAAAAGCTCAACTACAGCTCAACTGAATGTGTTTTGTCCCAGTCCCACTTACTGAGACCATTCAGTGCCATCACAGCTTTCGTACAGTAGCTTGTGGGAGGCTTCATCTTCCATCACTCATATTTTGAACAGACCTGCTGGAATCAGAGTTACGAGGTTAGACGGAGGAGTGTGTATCTACATGTGCACAGAGGGCTGCTATGCTGTTTGAGTCAGCAGTATCAGTGCTGAAGAGAGTCAACAGGTGGCCTGAGCGCTACACCCACGCTAACATTAGCAGCCACAATGGAGCTAATGTCATGAGACAAAATCCATTATCTTTTAGCCTACTTGTTGTCTTTCATTGCACTACATTATACTATATGAATGAAAATGCTTTACACTGGCTTCCAATTAGAAAACTGACTGAAATAACACTATGCAACATCAGCATGAAGAGAAATGTTACTGCTGACTTTGAGCATAAATGGAAACTGACCCGCTTTCTACACAGGTTCTAGTAGACACCTGCTCCCCTGTGAATGAAACAACCTGCATCAAATGTAACTTCTGAACCTTGTCTGAATCTGGTTCTCTGCTTTTACCTCAGTCACTTTGTCTTCTTGTTGTTAAATGTTTTGTTTAATTAAAAGTATTATTACTATTATCATAATAATACCCACTATTATACCCTTGATCATGCGGTAATATTGTGCTTTATGCATGTTTTTATTAATATATTCACATGCAAAACAAGAGAAGGAACAATGTTTCAAGCACAAAGAAGGACAGGGAGAAAGATTCCACCTGCTTGTTTCTAACAGACAGGACTGCAGTGCACCAGACTTGTCATATACAGTACAAGCACCTCCAGTAACAATACCAATATCTGACCATGGTTTGTTACATTTTATTCCTCAGCCCGGGTGGCGACCACCACCACCATGGTCATCGACAGTAAGAATGGGGACGTCGGGTCACTGCCTGCACGTCCCTCCAAGAAGACGTTGACTGACGACCTCTATGCTACCTTCAGCTCCCCGCTGGCCTGGATTTTAGTTCTGGCTCTCATCGTTACATGGTCTTGTGTTTTCATCATCATATTTGATGTGATGGACCACAAGGCCATTTCAGGTAAGGAGCGAGGATTCTGCCTGTCGTCACCTCTCAGCTTCTCAGTTTCACATACAGGTGTGTTTTCACTGGAAGCAGAAGAGCTTTAGTTTAAGACATCTGAACCCTATATGTAAATGTATAAAATCCTGGGTGGAATTTGGGCTAGCTGTGGACAGGTTCCAGCTCAGACTGACTTGGTTTTGAGGGTTAGGAGTTTGGCCGACGTAGCCCCGGTTAGTGGTCGTCAGGCCGGCTGTGCTCAGGAGCGTCACCTGGGTGCCAGAGACACTGTTGCTCAGTGGTTTAAAAACTCAGGTTACTGTGTTTTCTGTAGCAAAGTCCAAAGTTCTGTTTGTTTGTTTTTTTAAGTGGGACATTGTTGTAACCTCTAAAGGCTTTGGACTGAATTTGCAGATTGATATTTTTTACTCAACACATTACTCACATTATTTAGTAAGTGAGAAAAAACTTTTTACAATTCTTCCTGTATGTAGGTTTTATTGGAAGTTTTATTATTCAAAACCAGTCGTTGATGATGTAGTCTTGCTTTATTATCAGCCCATAAGATGAGTTGATGCCAAACATTTGTTGTTTCAACATGTGGGGTCAGTGGAACCAGAAGGGAGCCGTCACCCTGCCTATATGGCCAGCAGTGAAACCAGTTATTAATCAGTTTCTGAAGTTTCCAGAATGTATTTCAAAGTGATTTAATGACTATTTTGCCTGTGCTGCTGTCAAACCAGCAGAAAGTGTCAGCTGTGCATCTCCAGACTGGACAGACACTGTATGTTGTGTGTGTTTAATTTCCCATGCAGAGCAGTAAATGGATAAAACGTCCTTTTAACTAGATACTGTGAAGAAGGGGAAGCCAAGGACTATGATTTTTATCTTTATTATGTACTGTACTGTGCATCAAACTGCCCTGGTCTAAAATCTACTAATTTTTGCAAGCATTCATTCCATCCCCTCATAATATTTAAAGAAACACATACTTCCAAAACTTCATCCATTTGTTGTGTTCAACTCTTCGGTTTCTAACCCTAACATAAACATCTTCCTCCCTCCTTCATGTGTTGAAGTGCCCCATACAGTATTCTGAGTGTAAATGAATACAAAGTCATGTAAATAATTGGAATAACATAGAAGCAAAACACACTTGACTGTCATATTCCTAATGAAACATTTTCCATATTCAATAGCTCATTTTGAAACTATAAAATCACTGTGCATTGATTTGCAATAATAATTTAAATTCATGTAGAGAGCAGTTACTACCTTATTGTCACCAACAAACACAAATACTTTATTTCACACCACCTCACTTTCTTTCCTTATCGTCTCCTAGTCTCCTTTCCTCCTCTTTTCGCTTCAACACTGTGCTTAATGTCGTTGCTTACTGACACTTTGTTTCTCATCCAACCAGGTCACCCACCTCCTGGCGTCAGGAAGGTTTTAAAGGATTCAGGGCATAGAGGCAAGGCACCTTACCTGCTACTAACTCCCCAGATCAGACGCTTCTCTAGAGTCACTAGTAGAAACTATGAACCCAGTACTGACTGACAGTATTAGACGCCAATGCCAGAAGGTCCTTCACAGCCAAAGGACGCCGAGCTTTTATTCTGCATTTCTGCTGCCGCTACCCTTAAACTTAACATTAGCAGTATTCAGATATACAGCAATGTGTTGTTATGGGCAGTTTTCTCTGATGTGCATCATTTTGTGAGCTTTCTTTGTGTTTCCTGTATATTTCTGTGTGACAACAAAGGGGCTGGTTTGAAAAACCAGTACAAGTGATTCCAACCAGAAAGATGGAGCTGAATATATGAACTTCAGATGAGCTTGATTTATTGAGCTTTATTTTCATCTACAAAATAAAATAAGCTCGAGGTCTTGCTTCTGACAAGTTTCAGTGTTTAAAAATACATTTTGATTCGCACTACTTATTTTGCCTGTTGACCTTATGTGTAGAGCCGGTTGCATTGTGGGCTCATTATATTGTGAGATATGCAAAACTGTGGCTGGGTGAGTTTAAAACTTTGATAGTTTGAAAAGGATGAAAATTAAAAGTCAAACTGAGCATATGACACTGTAGCTGCAATAAAGAAAATCTCACATCTCCACAGTTTCTGAACCCGTCTTCAAGGTTCAGTTCTGCTCTGATTAAAACGCAAATCATGTTATGATGGCTTCTGCACTGGAACCCTGGCCCTCGTTCATCAGGCCATCTTGCAAACAAATGCATATTCGAAGCACTGTGAGACTTTAGCAAACTTCTATTTAATAAAATTACTGCACGGCTCCTAAATAAGTAACATTTTGATGTCAGCCCAAATTCAGCCACAAACATTTTTAAAACCTATATTGTTGAAAAATGAATATTGTTTACCTTGATGAATGAGGGTCTGTGATGTTTCAAGTGCTATTTGCACAGCAACATGCGACAGTATGTAAAGGGCTATTTGCAGTGGTTAAACTGGATGCGGGGTCACCTGTCAGTGGAACACTGGTTAAAACTAGTTTTCTGCTTTTCATTTCAGCTTCTGCTATACAGTTTATGTTGTCTACCATTTTCTTAATGTGCAGGAAGCTAAAACTGGATTCATTTGGCAACAACTACATGTGTGACTAAAGCAACTGTTTGTGTGCCTGCATTCATGTACCTGCTCACCAGGAGGCCTCAGCAGGATCGGCTCAGACCCCATGAAAGCGCTGAGTGATGCCATGGATGAATCAGCAAACGTTATCAGTGGAATGCTGAAATATGCCGCCAACCTGATCGCTCCCGAGGAAGATGAAGGTACGTTCAGACCCACTCTGTGCACAACAGAAAACAACACATTCATCTGAGCTGTTTCATGAGCATCTTACAGTGCATTTACTCATTTCCCTTTTATCTAGGAACTCTCTATGCAGTCAGAAAAAAAGGTTTGTAGCTGTGCAGCTTTTGATTTTATTTCCTGTTGTACTGATCATTCAGCTCCAGCGTGAGATAAATAAAAGCCTTGTTGACTGCCTTTCAAACTTCTTACTGATGCTGTGCTGCCACCAGCATGAAATCTGCAACAAGAAGTCATTTTAGTGGATCCAGTGAAAAGCTCTCTCTTTTAAAGCCACACTACAGATTTTGCTTTGACTAATACAAGCCATTATAATGAACAGCATGTATACTATACTGCCGCTTTTTGACTCTGAGGGCAGAAGCTTTGCCTTTTTGCAACAAGAGCAAATGTTACTTTATAAACTGAAATCAGTAAATGAAAACTTATAAGGCAGATGCCACTGCGAGATGCTGCTACCTTCACAGACAGACACGACTCCTTGGTTAGAAGCTCACAGAAAGGTGTGGCTGAGGGTACATGAAACTAGGTGACAACATGACCAGGTGATTATTACTGTGGTGGTAATTTTAAGCCAACTTCATCTATGAACCATCTCAAAGATTCAAGATGGTTGGAGGAGGAGGAGCAAGTGGAGGTGAAGATTAAGAAAGCAAAAGGTACTACTATATTTCTGGGATTGTGAAGATTAACTCTAGATAGATCATAAACTACTATATTTCTGGGACTGTGAAGATTAACTCTAGATAGATCATAACTGATGATTCCCACCATGTAATAGTAGACTAACGGAGCCAACAACAGGAAATTACTCCTAAAGTACATGTGGTTTCTCACTGCTACCTGCACTAATACTGCATAGTTTCTTATAAAAAGGACGTTTGATTCTCACTAGCTTTCAGCGCTGAATGCTGCCTATTAAAGATCTACTAAACTATTAATGCACTGTATGTGAATGGATTTCCAAAGTGTAGCAGCCCTGATGGAACTGAATCTGTACTCATGTTTAATTTGTTTGTACCTTTGTGTGCTCTAGGAGAATTTCTGCCGTCACGAAGTAAAGGTTTGTACCTCGTCATCTTCTGCTCTGAGCTTGACAAGGACACGATGATGGTTGGATGCTAATGTCTTTATACTAGATGCTTCACAAGTTAAGTGTTACACGGTTTTAAACTCCATGAGTGGAACAGCATGACACAAACCCCAAAAAGGTTACAATGGGTTTGTGCTTTGAAAAGGTTAATTTAAGAGAAGCTGTTGCCCATGATTATATTTTTATTTTGTAGAAAATTACTTTAACGTATTTCTTGCAGTTATAGAGATGCAAGTAAAGAAAAAAGCACCAGTGGTTGAAGTTGTGGGAGAAGAAGAGGAAGAGGAGGAAGCAGAAGAGGGAGATGAAGTGGAGGCTGTTGGGGAAGAGGAGGAGTATGCAGAAGAGGAGGAAGAACTAGAGGAGGAAGAGGAGTATGAAGAGAAGGATGAGTATGAGGAGGAGGAGGAGGAAGAGGAGGAGGGAGAAGAAGCTGTGGGTGAGGAGGAGGAAGAGGAGGAGGAAGAAGAATCTGTGGATGATGAGGAAGAGGAGGCAGATAAGACTGCTGACGATGAAGAAGATGATGAAGTAAAAGAGTCTGTTGAGGAAGACAAAGTTTCTCCTGAACCTATTTCTACTTCTGAGGATGAAGAGTCAGCTGCGTCTCCTGATTTGGAGTCTGACACACCTGTCGATATCAAAGACAGTGACAAAGAAGCAGCTCTGCCCGATGAAGATGATACTAGTGAGGATTCATTCATTGACACCTCAGACATCAGTGAATCTGTACTTCTTTCCAGTGAAGAGGAGGAAGATGAGGGTGTCACAACATCTGAGAGCGATGACATCATTGCAGAAGACAGTGATGATGACCTAGAGCATGAGCTTCCTCCTATTTCTGCTGCTAGTGAGGATGAGGAAGAAGATGATGTCCGTAAACTCGAACACCTGGAAGAAGACATCGATGTCTCTGAAGACACTGATGATGATCTGGACCAATCAGATGAGGACGTCTCTGTTGCCTCCTCTGAGCACTTTGCAGATGATGAAGATGAAGAGGAAGCCAGTGACCTTAAAGATAAGGACCTCGACTTTGGCTTTGACAGAGATTTGCCTGTCAAACTTGATGTTAAAGATGTCAAACCTGATGTCACTGATGATGATGAAGAGGCAGAGGAGGAAGAGGAAGAGGAGGCTGTCCCTCCCCATGAGACTACCGACAGTGGAGTCTTAGGTGATGATGACTATGACACTTCTCCTAAAACAGATGAAGAGTCTGATGGAGAAAGTGACGACACCTCCTATGAAACAACTGATGATGATGATGATGATGATATCGATACCAGCTCAGCTGAGTTCACCTTTGATCAAGAAGATGAAAAAAAGATCAAAGAAAAAAAAGAAATCACATCCAAGTCTTTACCTAGTGAGGATGAAGAAGATGAAGATGACGTTGATGACATCTTGCCAGCAGGTAGAGTGCAGCATCGCTGATCAGCTTCATCTCGGATGGACTCATTTCTTCTCCGGGGTCTTTGAAAGCCGTAAATGTAATTTGGTGAATCCTTAAGGTTAAACTATCCTGTGTATCTGTAGCTCCAGCTGCAGCAGCGTTTGCTGTCCAGGAGGAGGCAGTAAAGACTGAGGCAGACAAGGATGAGGAAGAGGAGGCGACCAGTCAGGCTGATGATGAAGGCAAGACTGAGGAAGCTGAAACAGAAGAAACTGGTGAGTATCACACATCACATATGGCTGCTGTGTTTTCTCTTGTTCCAGTTTAATAGGAAAACGTAGCTCGTGTCCATTCATTGGTCCAGAACAGTCTGCCCCACAGTAATCAGTGACCTTATTGATGAATCCACATTTGAGCCAGCGCCTGCCTCCATCCCCAGTTACCCGTCAGCCGTCTGCTCCTGAAGACGAAGGAGCAGATGAGGGGCCAAAGGTCAAACCGCAGAAATCTGTGGAGGAACCTGAAGATAAAAAGGACGAGTACGATGAAGACGATGAGGAGGAGAAGGCGACAGTACATGTGATCAAACCTGTGCCTGAACCTGAGCAGGAAGCACCAAAGGCTGAGCCCACAGGTAAGAGGCTGAGGAGGATTACAAATGTTTTATCAATTTTAAATTCGGTGCAACTTTAACTTCCTGCGTGTGGCTCCAGTGTGTCCCTGTCTGCATTCAGCTAGAGCCAAAGAGACGGTCACCAAGACGGCAGAGAAGAAAGGTTTGTGCTACTTCTGTAACATTAGATATAACATTTCATCTTATAAACTCAGGGTGCAAATATTGTAAAGACCAGAGGGATTTGCATGAGATAACAGAGGCTGGTGGCTTCAAATGGACACAAATAACAAAGAAAAGCAGAAAATCAAAGGAACTGTGTCACAAGATAGCACAGCAGGGAGGCAGGAAAACCTCTTTGCTGTTACTTTTTTTGCACAAAACAAGCAAAATTAAAAGTTTTTCCTATTTTTTGTTTCCTAATTAACTTCCTACAGTATGTAACAGAGACAATGAATGATACGTTTTGTATAGTGCTGTGCCATTACATATAGCACTATTTATGTCACTGTACTGTGTATTATGTTAAGTTATTGCATTAAATATTTTTACTCTGCCCTGGAACTGATGGAGAAAATGACAATTTATTCATCACAACTTTGAAATTTAAAAAGAAATTAAACTAAGTTTAGTTAGTTGCCGACAAGAGAACTTATTTTTGCACCCATTGCATTTTGATTCATGGGGTAGTGAAGGTGTAGACATCTGTTTGAGCTATAATTATACTTTTTTGTTTCATATTTGCTACCAATATTAGACTATAAACTGTTTGCTATGATGAATAAGAGAATATATGTGTGTCCCGCTGTGTCGAACAGAGGGAGAAGTCCATCACTATTTGTGTCTGTGACCTCACGTTTGTGTTTTTAGATGCTCCCAGGAGGGTCTCAGCTGTGAGGAGGAAAGGTACTGATAACAGTTTCAGGTTTTGACTAAAGGGATTTCCATCTAAGTAAGTAGACATTTTTAATTTTTAATTTTTTTATTTTATTTTAAGAGTGTGAAGCTGTGAAGACAGAACAAAAGCCAAAAAGGACAGGTAACACTAACACACTGTATTTATAGCACCTTAGTCTTTTGTTAGTTCTTGTTCTTACTGTGGTCTAATGAAGTAAATTATGTTTATGCATCCAGCTCTACCCAGGCTTGTAGGTCTGGAGTCAAAAATGAGGAGGGTCAGGAGATTTCCTTCTTTTTTCAAAGGTACATCCCGTGATGTTACTGAAAGTCAGTGGATGAGTGAGATGAGACTTGAGCTGTAAAAAACGACGAGTCGCAGAACGATCACAAAGTTACACTAAATGTTACTGCTACGGTTCACCTTTTCTAACAAAAATGCTTTACAATTTCAGTCACAACTTTTAATTATGAGGTGTTTTCTCTTTTAAATACAAACAAATAGTCAAGAGAGAGGAGAAGACCAAGATCTCCAAACCAGGCGAGTGATTCACACAGCGACATCAGTCATATTTACACCCATCGTGTGAGAGTAGATCTCTCCTCGGTAGACAGTGCTGTATGTAGTTGATATGAACCATGTGGAGAGGACTGTTTTTACATATGGCCATTTGTTCTGACAGAGACAGAGACCAAAAGACAAGAAGAGGTCCCAGAAACTGGACAAGAAGGTACAGGGGTTTTATCTATACAAGCATAAATATCCATTATAGAGAATTACCATATTTAAGGATTTTCATCTAGTAACCTGGAGGGAAATCAGTATAGTAAATCTACTACACAAAATTGTCATTTCAAATGAAGCAAACAGCTAAGGTAGATTTTCTGTCCTGTTTCAGCCGGCCCCTGCAGACCTGCACCAGTCTACTACACAACCCCACCTGGCTGGTTCAGTAAGTGGCAGTCTGTTATCATACTGGGAAAATGCTCGTCTTGATTTTATAACTCTGAATGTGACGGTCGGCTTCACACGTGCTGATCTCGTCCATTTACCTGCAATGGCAACTTGCTGAAATGTCAATTTAACTCTTTACCATCCAGTTCATCCGTACCCTCCTCCAACCATGTCAGGTAATTACATCGGTTCTAAGTGATACATTAACAGAATAGGACCATTCTTCTTGTGATCATATATCTTTCTGTATTCTCTGATGGAATAAACAGGCATATAATTTCTTATGTTCAGCTCCGTCTGCTCCTGTTCTAACCACCCACCCCGTCCATCCTGGAGTCCCACCGATGCAGCCTCTTTATCAACAACAGCCACCTCTACCGATGCAGCCGCTATATGCACAGTATCAGCCGTATCAATCCCCAGTGCAGCCAGTGATCCAGCCTCAACCAGTTCCAGTTCAACCAGTCCAGCCAGTTGAACCAGTGCAGCCAGAGTCCCCAGAACAACAAGTTCCTGTTCAGCCTGAGATCCAGACTCCAGCTGCTGAAGCTCAGCCAGCTGCAGTTCCAGTCCAGGGTCAGTACCACATTGAACCTTCTGAAGCCACAGCTACCCAAAACACATTTTCTTATATTTTTATGAGATTACACATAACAAACTGTTAGAAACGTAGAGTGGAGCCTGTAGATTTAACCAGATAAGGCTGCAGAGCTGTGCACAGACAACAGGTGGTAAGCTCGACTTACAGGTGACACTGCGTAGCAAAACATTATGCCATGCCTTAGATAAAAATAGATTTTGAACTGTTAAGTGTAATATGAAATACCGATATAAAGCAACATGGCCAAACTGTCCTTGCTCTGCAGCACAGAGGTGAACCACACGTCAACTTTCATGACTTTTCTAAACTCCTTTTAGTAAAAGAACCGGAGACTGTTAAAGAAGAAGTGAAGGCTGTGTCTTCTGAGAAAGGTACAAATGATTTAATAAGCTGAACTCGCATTCATCTCATCACAAAACCTAATTACTGCTGCTGAACAACAGTTAATGTCTTGTCATTTTCAGCTGCAGAGAAGAAAACCAAGGCTGCTCGTGCAGAGAAAGGTGCTGTATGCTTGTGCTAAATGTTATATTTGTCAGCTAACTGGAACATTTAACAGTAACAGTGATGTACAGTGCAGTGTCACACAACGTGCCACATTAATGCTTTCATCATGGGAAATTAATTCTGCGTGGCCATCTCGCTCCAATTATCCCCCAGAGGCAGCAGTGGCCAAAGAGAAAACAAAGAAAGATAATTTATGTTTACAGTGAGGCAGTTTGTTGTTTTCACTGCCGTGCACTTGTTATGGATGACACAGGGAGTCATCTGAGCTTTGCTTCACAGACAGTTTGCAACATAATTCAACACGTTTTCCAATTCTAGATACTGCCGTTTCGAAAGACAAAACCAAAGCAAGCCCTGCAATAAAAGGTGAATAACTGTGGAGCTATGCATCTTGCTGAATTAAAATGTTATTCAAACTTATAATGTACTTATTTTGTATTTGTTGCTGCAGGGCCAGCTGCAAAAAAAGACAAAAGCAGACATCCTGTAGTGACCAAGAAAGGTAATGAACACTCTGCTAGAATACAAACTTTATGCATCACAGAAAAAACAAGCCTGATGTAGGATGCACATCTTTCAAGTCTCTCATTTGGCTGCAACTTGTTTTTACAGAGGCAGCCGTAAAACAGCAAACCAAAAGCGCTACAGTGGCTAAGAAAACTAAACATCATAAAGGTGATATGAAAACTAACAGAGAGAACCTCCTTCCTCCTCCTCACAAAGGATCAGCAGATATTTCCCTTAGAAAACAAATTATTCAGGCCACTAATCACGACTCTCTGCTCATTATGTTAGAGCCTGCAGCTACTCGACAGAAGAGGAAATCAGCCTCTGAGAAGACAGGTACCTACACATGCCGACATTCATCAGTTTGCATAAAGTCAATCATCATTCACATCAGTGACCTGAAAGATGATTGGAAACTAATTGCTTTTGCTCCTCTCATAAGCATCACCTGTCAAGAGCCATGTCAAAGCATCGACAGTCAAGAAAGGTGCGACTCTGAACAACACTCTGTATCAGTTTATGGTTTAAGATTCCCACCATCCAGTTCTCCCTAATTTCTCCCTTGCATTATCTTTTCTGTCTATGCAGAGGCTAAACCAGAATTAGGCTGAAATGATGTATTTGTCTTAAACAGATCCAGAGCCACGTCCACAGCCGCTCAGACTGAGGACGAGACTAGAAGCTGTCAGGAGGGTGAATGTGACTTCTCAGGCCAAAGAGGAGAAACCTGCCAGATCTTCTTCTGAGCCAGGTGAGTTGCTTTCCATTGACTTTCCCTAGTGTAGGCAGAAATGATTTACTTTGAGCATTCAGGCTTTCCCTGGCTGCTGAAGCACAGCAGGACTTTGTATTGAAACCTTTTATTGTTCGCTTATTTTCAGCCAAGTCAAAGTCAAAATTACTGGCGGAAAAGAAAAGTACGTACTCATTTAAATATATGCACATTTGGATAACACTCTGTAGGTGATGGTGCTTTCAAATAGGGCCATGTTTCACCTGCAGCACCAGCTCCCTAAAAATGTCAGGTTGTGATGTTACAAGGGGCCTGAAATATTTATTTTCTGGGAGCAAAATCTTCCTGAAGTCATATCATATGAAATTTAGCTGCACTAGGCAACTAGCAAAAATTTCATAAAATCACTGCTCATGGCCAAAAAAATGGTTCCAGGTCAAGTTAAGCTCAAAACAAACAAAACATGATGTGTTGTTTGGTCTCCGTTGGCATCTTTCAAGACAAATCACATCAGACACAGTCGCAGATTATGTGATTAAATGGGCTGTTTTATGCATGATAGCGCTCTAATTAGGAACATGTCAAGCTGAATTACACTGAGAGGGGAATAATAGCATAAGAATATTAAATGTACGCCACAATTACGGAGTCATTTGGCAGAATGTAATAGGGCTGTCTCTCCTGTTTCAGGTAAAGCTGAGAAAGCTGAAAAGAAATCTGTCAAGGAGGTTCAAGGTATGGAATTAAAACACATTTAGAAAATGAGTCATTTACTGTCTGTGCCATGTACATTTTACATTGACCAGTCTCTTGTTGCCCCTTCTCAAATTTAGATAAAGAAAAACAACCAGCACAAGCTAGTGAGTATGAGAGCACCAAAGGTATCTCCAGCTCAAATAATTACCAGCCATCATCAGGGATATTAACACGTCTGTGAACCTCAGTGTTGATTGTATTATTTATCCAGGAGGACTTAGTCAAAGATTTTGTCTGGAAGATGTTTCATCCAAGAGGCTTTACCAGTTATGTGGCTGGGTCAGGATTTTCTGGGTTTAAAACGTCTTTGGGTTGTTCATGACATTTGTGGGACTTTAAAGCTGCATTAACTGAGAGTTTACACGTTATCCCCCACCTGCCGCCTAGCCAAGGCTAGAAGAAGGGTTTTTCCAGCCAGTAGTCATGTCCAACAGTCATGGAGGAGCTCTGGCCAGCTAAAAGTCTGAACCAGCGGCTGCCAGAGTGAAGAGGTGGCGTCTTTTGCACAGAGAGAGTGGGACAGAGAAAGAGCAACAACCAGGGTTAACATGGGTTTGGCTGTTTGACATGGAGAGGGTTAAAAGCAGCCAGAGGACTCAGACTGGATTCAGATGTGGGGTTCTTCGTTCTGGATGTGTTAGCATCTAAAGCTAACATGTTAGTTCTGGTAGCATTAGCCACCTAGCATGGTCAGGATTTTACCTTTGTGTTGAAGTAATATGATTTAAAATCAGAAATAATTGGAGCTTTGTGTCACATTAGCAGTTGCTATGACTGTACATCTTGCTGCTGTTTTGACAAGAGCACAAACAATTTTGACAACACTGTGAAGTGAATGAAAAAGATGGTTTAAAGGCCTTGAAATTTAAATTCCCACAATTTGAAAGACATGATAAAAGCTTCTTGGATGAACTGAGAGACTTCTTTAGGATCAAGTAAATCTAACATAGTACTTCTAGACATTCTTAGCACCTGATGACTGAATACACACACACACACACACACACACACACACACACACACACACACACACACACACACACAAACACACGCGTTTTACATGTTGACAGTTAACTCTTTCTACCATATGCTTGTCGTTCATAGAGAAGAGAGCGTCCTGTAAAGCCTGAGGTATTCAGTTAATTCTCAGCATTACTCCACTGGTTAACTTAATATGAAGAGACCTTCTCTCTTAATGACATTAGAAAGTGATTAGAATTCAATTGAAGTAAGATGAGATTTTTGGCCTTGAGTTATTTGAAGAGATTCATGAACATTGCAACGATAATACTGACCTGAACTGGTTAAACCCCTAAACCGAAACACACCAAACTGAATTATTAGTGTTCTGTTCTTATTGAGTCATCCAGTGGAGCATCAACCCCCCCCCCCCATTGTCCACAGTGACACTACACTTTCCTAATATCTGACTCTGTTGCTCCCGTTTCATTGTCCCAAACCTAAATTTACAGCTCTATTTAACTGTAATTTGTTGAATTTGGGTTGTTTTGGAAACTTAGGGCAGGCAAACACTCATGTATCTATAAAGAAGTGTTTTATTTAGAGATTTCACTACCACATGGAGTGTACCACCCAATACTTAGAGCATATGGTCCATTTAATCCAACCCACCACTGCACTTGGACATTAGTTAGATTTTTGAATTTGAACATTTGTTGCTAGGAGTTGGCTGTCAACATCATTTAGCCAACAAATGTTGATACAGTTAACTACCATGAGCAGTTTAACCAGTCTTTCCCTCCATAACATTCACATGCTAATCTTTTGTTAGCATTGAATCCTAATAGTTGTTATTCTTCATGCATGTTACTTCAACATCTGCTGAGCACCACTGGTAAACTCCAACATTTAAATTAGGTACCTCATCACTGCAGAAAAATTATTTTTAAGTGTTTTGATTGTTAATGACAATTGGCAAAAAATAAATACACAAGTTGGAACAAATATCAAGGTACTGTGTAAGTTGATTTCTCAGTAAAAATGCTTTAAGTTCAATTTGAACTTTTTTTTTTTTTAGAAGAAAAGAGCTTATGAATTCAAAAGGGACATCACTGCATGACACCTTTGTCTCTTTCTTCTTGTCCCTCCTTACATGCACGTTGACACTCACCTTTATCATCCGCCACCTCTTCATTTCTTCCACACAAGCATAGTCACACACGATGCCCATATCTCAAGTTGTTCCCGTTTCTTGCAGGGGAGCCTCAGACTGAAGACAACACTACAGAAAAGAAAAAAACAGGTAAGAGTTTTTAAAGGGATTTTACTGTAAGTGAGGAGAGGTTACTTCCCACAAAACCACAAGTGAACAAACCCTGATGACTGTGATTGTATTTTGCAAAGCTTTTAACAAACAGGGACTAGTAAGATTGGGCTCAGTTTGCTTCATACCAATTAAAGTTTGGGTTTAAAACTCCACATTGAAAAGTTGTCTAAGTTGGAGCTCAGTTCGGACTTCATTTTGCCTTTCACCCCCTTCTTCAGTCACCAATCCACCTCCTCTTGCTGTCTTCACAGGCCAGAGATTCTTCCAGTGTGTTTATGTCCCTGGCAAAAATGTACAGTACCCCTTGCGACCTTTCAGCCCAGCCATGCCCCCCACCATGATGTCCCCTGCACTCAGGTCAATGCTGGAGCAGCAGCGAGCAGCCAGGGCGTCGGGGCAGTAGGACAAGTGTGACCTCTCACTTCATATCTCATAGCAGTGCATCCCCAGTCCAGCAGGGGGAGACGTTTGAATCTGTGGCTTCCTTAGATTCAGAGGAAAGCTCATTCAAACAGAAGCATTTTGTCTTTAATTTATTTTCTCTCTTTGTGGTCGAGCTCCTGGGGTTAGTGTTGATGCTGGTTGCACCGTCTTGGTTATATGACAATCATTGACAATAGTCAAACAGAGAAGCCTTTATATGAATAGTCTTAACTTAATGTGCATAACATCCTGTATGTTTATAATTAACACTTGGAAAAAGGTTCATAACTTGGTCATTTTTAAGTTTACTAAAAAAAGATGAAAACAAAATACTTGTATTGGGTTTTAATGGCAAACCTGGCTGCAGGTGGCATTCTGCATTGTTAACTACATAAACCATCGCAGCATTGATGAGACTTGCATCTGTTCTCTAAATTTGTGTCTAAAAACACTGATTTGGCAAGCTGCAACGGGTATCTGCTCCTAATGGCAGTGTTATTGCTGCTGAGCTGTGTCCATCTATAGATTAACATATAAATGTGGAGGGTCGAATCCCAGGAGCTCCCACGGCTGATCCCAGCAGCCTCCCTGTCTCTGATCATGAGTGAACATCCATCAGTCCCATTAACAGAAGTGACAGCATCCAGCATGAAACTGCGGTTATTTAATCAAAAGGCACTCAAATTTAAATTATACCATTAAAATCAGAAACGTAACTGAGGCATAAAAACACTGACATTTACACAGCAAGTTTCTCATGATGCTGCTTTATAACTAATAATAGCTGATAAACCATTTAAAAACATTTTCCTTAAACTTAAGTCACCTAGAACTGCAACAAGGTACCTTTGTACGTTTATGTCTCTTAACAAAATAAGTTTGATTCATGAATACAGTAGCATGTACTTGATCACATCCGATCTCAAAACTCTTACATGGTCTTAGACATAAATATCAGCTGCTTTAAGTTGTTCAGAGACAGGGAGTCCGTCCAGGATGTCCTGAAGTGACCAAGTCATGAGATGCTGTGATGTCTGCCACAGTGGATGAATGTCATGTGAACCATGTTCGTCTTCACCTTATTTTTTAAGCCTGAGACGTCGTCATAATTTCAGTCATTCACAGCTCTGGTTTTGTATCTTCGCAACACGACTGCTGAACATTACCACAGATTTGATGCTGTTGTCTTACTGAATGAAAGCCTGATATGAATAAGAACCAAAAGGGGGTTTTCACTCTGGGCTTACACCTGGGATGAGATCCACACTAGTCTAACAGTCATGCACACCCATTGTTTCCGAGTATGTTAGCATGTCAACCCAGGCCCCTCAGTGCTGTCAGTTTCAGCAGTGATCATTTCAGGTCACGTCATCTACTGTTTGTTTCCTGGTGACGTGCTGTAGCATAAGGTCCTACTGCTGCTGTGATCATGTGTGGTTCAAGAACTCTTATACGTTGATTTAGAACAGTAATGAAACTGTATTGATGTTTGAGGCGTTTCAGTGTGTGGTTTAAAAGGGACACCTACCAGCTAACAAGAGGCCATGGCCATAAGGTGGGGCTTCTTGCCTTTAGCTCACTGTTTGTACATTATAGTACTAGTGTAAATCTTAACAGAGTTAGTGGAAAGACATGAGGGGATATGACCAAATGCAGGAGCGGCACAAACATGCTGTACATCACAAAATGAATATACAGAATCAAGATGGAATCTAGAACTTCACAGTTGTATTCCTCCAACAGTCAGCCAAATTCACGGGAATGGGGCAGACATGAGGGCACAGTGACCGACCACCCAAATCTTATTAGTACATCCTTGAGCCAAGTGGATGTTTGTGCCAAACGGACTGACCGGAACTTTAGGCTATCGCTGGCACAGAGGCATAAAAGCAACAGAAATCGCTGGAGTTCTTGATTGTGAGCTCAACCTGAGCATTTGCTCTCACACAGACAGCTAGGCATGTCAACGCTGCACCTTTAAACATCACCTGTGTAAATCAAGCTTTAGACAACAGCAGTGAACCGTTTGCTCTCAAATACAGTCTTAACTAGTTGTTTGTTGTTGGCATAGTGATCATGTTAACTGCGGACTCTGATTTTTAGCCTGAGGCCTGATGTAAACTCTGGGTCAAAACGTTCAAGTGTGAAATGAGCCTTTCTGTTGCCCTGCAGGCTTTTGATCAGCAGGCCTGAGAAATCTATGAAGAGCCATCATGTTTTATTTGTTTTTTTTAGTCTAACGAGGTCTTTACATTGAGCAGAGTGGTGTTACAACACTTTGAAATGTAGCGTGAAATCTTCAGCTCATAAATGAGCTGTTTATTTGGAGGATCATATAGAGATACAGCAGTAGTCTGGTTGTGACTCTCTGCTGTCGGGACTCCCTGAAAATATATGATACTGACAGGAATTACACAGTGTAGCTGCAGTTATGTGCTGCAATGATGCATTTATTGTTATTAATGTGATTAGCAGGAGTTAAAACAGGTAAACATTGGCTTGTACAACAGGCTACAGGTTTATTGTTTTTATTCATGTCAACCTAAAGGTGGAATACCGTTTTTTTAAACTTTGACTACATCCCCAATTACATTAAATACATGTTTGGATGATGCTGTTAAGAACAAGAAATTTGCTTTTTCTCCTGAATTTACTGGTTATTCCTGTGTTTCACTTTTGTGTCTCGCTGCTGTAATTTTATTCTTCTTTGTTGTCAGCAGATCACGTTTCTCTGATACATCTGTTGCACAAACCCTGTCGTGTTTGTTTTTCTGCATCTTTCGAGCACAGAAAGTTTGGACTGGATTTCCCGTTGACATTTCTGTGGGTCAATTACATTGATTTCTTTTTTCTTTATCCAGAATTATAAATGCTGTTCAGAATTATCCTTTACTAACCACTTCACCGACCAAACCACTCCCTGTGGAGCGATTGACCACTGGTGGAGCCTTTCTTCAGGAACTGGTCCCTCGCTTGTCTGTGCTCTGTCAGCAAGCACATAAAAATGCACAAGCAAGTCATGGGCATGTTTCTGATGCAGAGAGAGTTAATGCACCTGCCATAAAATATGTATATATATATTTGAACAAACTTGACTGGCACTTATCTCAACAGCCAAGCATGTCTGTCACATGAAAGAACAGCTACACGGTTCATACCTATTTGCTCCTCTAGAGCTCACTAATTAACATTTTAAACTGCAAAAAGTGAAGTTTAAGATGAAATACCTTAAATCAAGGTACAGCCGCTTGTTTTTTTTTTTTTTTTTAAACTGACAGAATATTTCTTTTCACCAGGAAGTTTTTATGTTGGAACATTTCACTTGTTTCAAGCTTTTTGTCCTCGATTATCTTGATATTAACTTGTTACTGAGATTTTAACACTGGTTCTGAGTAAATTAATGCTTGAAATTAGAACAACTGGAATTATAGAGCAGGTTGATTAACACTGACAAGTTCAAAGCTGCTTTGTATCTCTATAGGTTCTGGAGGCTATTTTTACTTGTTCCTAAAAACCTTGGCAGATGAATTTTTTTTTGTTGGCAGGTAATTTTGCTTATTTTCTCCCATTTTATTACTCTCTATTTATTCTTCTTCTTGAGAACTGAGTTCTTGCAGTGAGCTAGTTTGATTAATCAATGCACAAATCAAAGTGTAAAAGGACGCACTTTAGATTTGTGGGGATTACAAGTCATTTTTTTGGCTGGATGCATTTCCATCAAAAGGAACAATAATGAATGATGTAACATATTAATTACTGATTTTTAGAAGTGCTGGTAGGTGGGTGTTGTTCTCTTATGGACAGAACCAGGCTAACTTTTTCCCTCATTTCCAGCTTTTATGCTAAGCTAACTGTCTCCTATAAGAGGGGTGTCAGTCTCATCTAACGCTTGGCAGGGAAGAAAGTTTCCCCAAATGACTAACTACTCCTCTAATATACAAGCATGAAAGGCTCAGTCTATTAAACATGATGTGATCAGGCTAAAAAATCTAATCAGACCGATTTAAGAATGAAGCTTTACAGTGAAAAGTAGTGGCAGAGTTCAACATGCAGTTAAAGCTGTTAACAGACTTTCAAAAGCCTGCAGTAAATGTCACCTGGTGGTTGATATGTGTGCTTTGTATCATAAAATAGATGGGTCTTGATACCACAGGATGGGATTTTCTAAGATCCTCTAAACAGAATGAGCATTTGGAACCCAGTGATGCCATGTGTGAACCCCGGTGTATCCCAGAGTAGATGCTTTGAAAACAACTTTGCCTTTTTAACACCTTCATTCAGTTCACATTTTCTGATGTTTACTTACTGAACAGTTCCATAGTGATGCTGGGATTGTTTTTTAGTCTTTCAGGATTTAAATCCAGTCCCGATTGTGTTGTAAGTGCACCAATAAATACTGAAAGCAGGAGCCGTATAAATGTTTTTGATGCAGGCTCCACCGAACAGATATAGTTTGGAGTTTCTTTTAGAAGGATCACTTATTTTATTCATGATTTCTTATGTAATATGCATGATGCTGTAATTTAAACAAAGGTGGCGACACTGGTTGACGTGTAGCACCACTCCTTAGGGTTGCACAAACCAGTAGTCAGAGCTGTGCAAAGACTGTAGTTAGTAGTTAGTTTTATTTGGTGCCCTTTGTAACTGATCATCTCGTTGGGCTCACGGTGAAAAATAAATGCAAAGCCATTTACTGGTTTGCACAGAAAAAGTTATAAGAGGACATTTGTGTGTTTTAGTCTCAGAGTGTAACTTTGGAAATGACTACAGCATAAACTACCTGTTGCATGTATTATAGAGCAAAAATGTCTAATGTAGTTACATGATAAGGTCACATTATAGGAGCCAAGCAAAAAGGCTAGAAGTGACATTTCCAGCTACTAAAAAGGGATTTGAGTGATATTTGTCTGCTGTATTATATGTAGAATCACCAAAATGCAGTTTGTGAGCCATAATTTGAATAAATATTTTCAGACATTTGTGACATTATTACTGTTTTTCTTTACATTTTACATGCTTTTAAACAGATAATCTTATAGTTAGGGAACAGAGAACAGAGACTCTCCTCCTGCAATGTGATAGATAAAGCATAAGAAAGTTGTCAGAGCTCCAGTCAGCTGTTGTCAGCCCACAGTCAGTAGTCAGGTCCTTTGTTATCAGTCCTGAATCAGTCAGCCCCAGTCAGTCATCCTTCCCCAGCCGGCTGGGTCCCTAGCAGGTACCCCGTCTACTGTTTTACTGCAGCATGGTCATCCCCTCTCTACTCTCTCAGGCTCACTTTTTTATCAGCCGCCTCCCTTATGCTGTTGCATCTATTTCTAAACCTAACTTCCTGTCTTCAGTTTCGGGAAACAACACCCTGAGATGGACTCCGAAAACAGGAAGCATCTAGTTCCTGTTTGCCAAATCACATGCCCCACTCACATGTATTTAATGAACCAGAGCCACTCAGCTAAAATAAGTACAGATAATAAAATAAGTACAAATAATGTCTATATATGAAGTACATACTGTTCTATGGCATAGTTCTTCTGGAATCTAATTTATTTTTAACCACTACACCATACAAAAAGGACATTTCCAAGTAGAACATGTTCAGGGCCGAACAACAGAAAGTGGCAAATTTAAATGTTTCTGGGAATATAG